CTAAAATGTATAGTGTTCAGTAAGATTGTGAGAATGTCTAAACTTCCCATGATCAAACATAATCTGTTTATTTAGAGGGGGGGGGAAAAATCAGTCCTGTTGTCTCCAGTTTTGCCATTTGTCCAATGAGAAAGGAAAATAGTTTCACAGAAAACATACAACAACCAAAAATTCCAAAGTAAATTGTGACCTCAATGTCACAGTGACCCTGTGCCTTCTTTTTCTTTATGAGGCTTTCCAAAGTCTGCCTCTTCTTTAAGTTTTCGCTCACTCAGAACCCAAGCAAGGTCAGATTTGACAGTCATTTTAAGTTGCACAGGTGAGGCATACCAAGATTTAAATAAGTGGGGTTTTTTTCCCTAGGTAGCTTCAGAGGTTAAAAACAGAACTAGTTAAAGAACTCTTTATCACTCATCTTTTTATGCATGTTTTTGTCATATTATAGCACACAAGATTTAGCACAAAACAGATATGACAAAATTGCCAAGCTGCATTTCGATGTCACAGGCCAAAACAAAACCTACAATAAGAAAAAAATCCATCATACAAGTAGTGGAACCTTCACCGTAACATATAAAAGTTTATGAGTGCTCCAGAAAACATTATGCTCTATATAGCCTCTTCTAAAACAAAATTCTGTACCTGCCATACCATAGCTTTCTCATATAACTTATGACATGTTCTGGTCATTCCTGTGGATTGTTTTCATACATGGATAGTGTTTTCTATTGCATGCAAAGGACGTATTCAAAAGGTATTTAAGTCTTCCTATTTTTATTTTCATTGAGATTTTCCTTTGGTTTGGTTTTTTTTTTGCTCTGTTTTTCTCAGTCAATATAATACTACTGATATCTCTTTATTTAAATAACTGTCATGAATTTTCTTCCCCTGCATAAATCTTTACAGTCCATTTTATTTACTAAATAAAAAGGAGATATGGATACGCCAAACCAGTTCTTTCCAGTGCCACACTGCAATTGTATGCAGGAGGCATACTAATTTTCCCAGACTATAAAAAGTTATTGTAGCTATTTTTCTCCATAAGACCTCTTTGTTCGCAAAACCTATCCTGTTCTTATGAGTCTCAGTTTTCAGAGAATGGACTCTGAGTGCACAGTGATATCCCAAAGCGATTTTGTGGAAACTCTCTACTTTTTACTGTGGTTTTTAACTTGCCTTCCTCTGGAAATTAGGTTTACACAATTACATAATTCTCGTCCTCAACCCCAACAAATCCTGAGCCTGTTGGACCATTTCATCCTGCTTTAGCTGAGTGCCAGGCTGCTCTGAGTTAATATGTTCCAAACAATTTGGAGGAAATTGCTGGCAAGGTACAGAAGAGAGCATTGTTTTGGGTCTATCACTAAGACAAGTGAAGGAATAACTCAACTCTCATCATTTACATGATCCAGAGGCCTGGCAGGGAGTATTATGTGTAGGTTTGAACAAAACCTAGTATATTTTCTTTGCCCAGCTAGAACAGTTATGCATGTTAGAGGAACTTAAAGGTAAGTGAGAAGGGTAAGCTAGCAGGTGTGGGGAAGGTGAAAGGAGCTGAGGAAGAGGAAGAGGTGACGTAGGAGAAATCTGTGAGTCCCGTGAACAGTTTTAGGAAAGTGTAGAAGGGATCTGGAGGGATCCATTCTGTGGATGGATCCAATCCCATCCATTCTGTGCATGGGATGCAGAGTGCAATGGCAGGGAGACAGGGAGGGTATGCGGGCTACATGGACACAGGACAGACACAAAAATTTAAAAATCTGTGTTAAATGAATGGAAAGACATCAGCAGAAGATTCACTGAGTGGAGCTTTGGGAATTGCATTGAAAACTGCAGTTAGATTCCTGCCAAACCATTATCTAAAACAGATTAGGGAACCAAAAATAGATCTGACATGGCTTGGAAATAGTATATGTGGAGAATTGCTTATGATCAGCCTATTCCCATGAGAAAAATGTTTTTTTTAAATGAAGATGCAAATTATGTGACCAAGAGGCAGATCTAACCACTTCCTGCATATTTTTAATTCTTCCAGGAAGGGACCCAAAGCCCCTATAGAGCAAAGATCATATGTTTTGTATACTAATGTTTAGAATGACTTTTCATTAAAGTATACTCTGAGTCAACAGTCAATGTAGTCATTTTGAAAGACTTCAGTCCTGTTTGAGACCTGACAAATGGATATTCTTTGCAGAGATCACTGTGGAGATTTACAGGCTAGAAAGAAAACTTGTAAACTGCAGTATGATAAGCCTGAGAGATTAATGCAATCCTAAATTAAGGATCTCTAGCCAGTGCTTCCTCCAAGCATGGAACAAACTTACTAGTTTTTAACAGCAATGTAGATACTATACAAAGAGTGCACCACCTCAGGTAAATAATCCAGCAATAGCATGACATCAAGCTAAGTGAGGATCAACCACAAGGACAGAATATAATCAAACCAATTTCAAATGGTGTGGTAATGGTGAGATACTTCCAGCAATAGCCTAGCCCAACTCCAAATCTGTACTATAAATAAACATTTATAATGACACAGACACAAAAATTCAAACTAACTAGTAATTTTTTTACTCCTACTGTAGCTGTAAAACTATACCTCAATATAACAGTCAGGATGAGAAGCAGAATTTGTAACAATGAGAGAATTATGGGGGGTCTGAGTACATTTCAGTTCTTTCACAGAACATCCAGCATTGTGTGGCCAAATTCACACAATCTCTCTAGTCATTGTTTCTCACGTTACCTAAACGTGTGGCACTGACAGCATGGCATAGCTCGGGGTAGGGACAGGAAATAGTAAGAAATTTAGGCTTGGGGATGTCCTCCACCCCTTGCGGTCAGGGCCACAGATGTGGGAACAGCAATCTCTCAGTGAAAGCTGAGGCATGATGCTCCTTCTAAGTCCTATAACTGTAGGAGAGTAGCTGGGGATACATTAGGGGGTTAAACAATAAATAATATGTATGTGCATGATTGATTGGAAATAGCACACTGTTAAAAACATTTCTGAGAAGGTAACTTGAAACAGAAAATATTTTGGGAGCTGAGAAAGGAAACAAGTGAAAAAGGAAGCCTGGAGCAAGGGTGCACATAAGCTCCAGGGCCCTACAGGCAAAGTTAAATTTGTGCCCATCTCTGTATAAGTGTGTATTGTAGTATAACGAGGTGAGACCATACCTTTCACCTCTCAGAACTGTAAGCCTATGGCAAACTGCCCTGCTCATCCCACAGTCTCCCTCAGGTTGCCTTAGTACAGAATCAGAATAAAAGACAGAATATATATGTAGATGCAAAAAATATTGTTCTCTACTTTACCTAAGGCTGAAGAAGGTGTGGCAGACTGGCATAGAAAAATATTCTGTAACTGAGAATCTTTTAAACAAAGAAGAACAAAAAAAATAAAGGCAAGAATGCCTCTAAAGCCATTAAAAAGGGGAAAGTGCTTACAGGTGAGAGGTTTTTCAAAGCCTGCTGAGTAGAAAAGTCATGCTTATTTTTAACAATTTCAAATCAAAAACTAACTTGAAATGAAGAGAAACAGAAGTTATTGTTATTTCATTGCTCAGGGAAATAATACGCTTTGTATTGGAAACTGAGATGCTAAACTTACTTTGCATCTATACAGTAACTGGACACTCTCAGCAGCTCCCAGCTGTACCTGAGTATTCTGCTGATCAGGAGCATTTGAGTGCTTCTTTGCAGTAGCATATCATAATCTGGGAATTCTTGGCACCGATATTAATTGTTGTGCCCACATCTCCTGCATCTGTGCCACTCCAGTCACACAAAACCATTGAAAATTCACAGATCCTTCAGATGAGGCTTCCATTGCTGTGTAAAGATTTCTAAATCATACATATATATCTTTCCATCACCTCTTCTAATTCAATGCTATAGGGCAACCTTATGAAAAAGCAAATACAATTGCATTCCAACAATTCCCATCTTTAGCTGAACAGGCAGCTGCTTCTATTCCCTTGCTAACTACAACGTAGCTATAAAGACTGCTAGACCTCAGCTGAAAAAGATTTTTTTTTTAAAAAATGATAAATAATAAGAAAGAGAAAAAAGGAAAAAAAGAAGGAAAAAGAAAAAGAAGAAGAAGAAGGTACTGTACCCATTTTCTCTTATAAACATTCTCTATTTATACCTTAGCCACAGCTGACAAATAAGCATGGAGGTTATGGAATTTGATTAATACAACATGCAAAAGAACGTAATCTATTTTCATTTTCTTGAAAGGTATATCACAGGGTTTTTTTTTGACAGTACAATGCTGAATGCATAGCACACTCACTTTTACCTCAAAACCTAAGGTAACATAGTTAACATAATAATTTCAGCCCAAACGGACAGGCAGTAAAATATAAATTATCATTTAGACTCTCCTTACAGACACCCACAGATAAATACCATAGAATTACTAACAAAAAAGGAGATCATATATGAAGAAAAAGAAGAAAATTCTGGTTTAGTTGTTGAAAGTTGTTTTTATATGTGTTTTTGCTACACTATTTCATAACATAAAATCATGTTTTGTTTAGTATTAGGGCTAGGAGTAATACAAAATAAGGTTCAAAACTTAAAAATGTTGTATTGTTCTTACTAGTGTTTTTCTTATTCAATGAAAAAAAAAGGTAGTTTAAAGGAATTAATGAATTATGATAAATTGGGATATTTGGGATAAGATACAGCTATTTAACAGAAAGTTATATTTATAATTAGTTAAGGCCTAATTTAACTAATTACAAAAGTAAATAGATTAAAAGAATATTCCCCTTAGTTATTCTATATCAGAATTCCTGGATTCCAGGATGTAAAATTACTAGGATATGTAGACTGAAGGAGAAGGTTAGATAACACAAAATGAAAGTGATGCCACTGAGGGAAAATATGTAACTTATACAACACAAAAGATACTACAGGAAGGAAAAGCTCTTGTATCTGTATAGTCTCTGCAAAGCCTGGAATGCAACAGTCTCTGCAAACGTACTTACCCATTTGACACCCCACATTCCAGAACTCTTGAGGATTATAATTTGAAGAGGTCGTTCTTGTTCCTTTGGGGTAGATTCTTGTAATGAATCTTGAAGTATGTGAAACAAACTCTTTAGCTGAAAAACAGAATGATAAAACCTGGGTAAGAAAAACTTTATTAATAAAGAGATCCTATTTGAACAGATAATAATAAAAATATAATAATCTGATCCAGCAATTTATTTATTTATTTTACGCGATGAGTATATCATATCAATGCATTTATATTTTAGGACATTTCTATATATGTTAACATTAGTATATGGACCACTCTGAGATATGGCTGAAATCCTATTTTAAAACCTTAAAATGTGATAGTATTTTGTGTATACTTGAATGCAATACTATTTCTGTCTATAGTGCTGCCTTTTGTTAAAGGTTCAATAACCAAGAATCATTCCTTCATGGAAATATTCTGTTTCTTCACCTCTTTGTTAGGTAAATATATGATTTTTGTACTAAAGCCCACTGTGTTCTCACAGAAAATTGGAAAGACACAAAACAGGAAATTGATCAAAAAGCCCACTTATTCTTTTATAGTTCAATAGGAAAAAAAATCATCCCATGATGATCTTAGCTTGATTGCTGGTTTGAGGTTTAAATAAAATGACCGAGTAATCTCAAGAGGAGTGAACAGCGCATTTCTAAAAAACACTTAATTGGTTCCTTTATAATCTTCAGAAGATGTTAACTATTCAAGTGAGTTGATTTTCTTCTTCCTAGTAGTGTTCCCTCCCACAAAGGCATAAACTAAACAGATGTGGAAAACTTCAAATGGCTTCTATCTACACTATTTCTGTTTAGTAATTAAACAGAAAGCTTTACATTTCCAGGATCATCACTCTGATCCTTTCCAGCCTCTCTCCGCCCCCTTTTTTTTTTTAATAGAACTACTTTTATGTTCACTAGGTTGGTAGATGGGCTAGCAAGACAGTTGCTAGAGAGGACTCTGACTATGGATGGCTGGCAAAAGCCTACTTGTTTTGATGCCGTTCAGCACCATTCACCTAACCAACCATTGAACCATCTCCACAATGTGGTGGATGGCAGCCGGGCTGGCCCTGAATGAATGGGCCTGTGGCAGACTTCATTCTCATGGTCATTTATCTCTGTTCTTAACACTCCCTTAAGGCTTTTGGCAGACAGCTGGAGTTAAAACAGCAGAGGCTGCACTGTATTCGCTGCACCAAATGGAGACGCTCCAACACAGAATGAGTTTTGAATAATCCAACTTGGCTGGTATGAAAGATCTGGTCCAATGGAGCAAACTGCCTGCTATGGGGTTTATTCATTCCATCAATGCAGATTCTCTTACCTGCAGTTATCATCAAAGCCAGGGGTACTGCATGCCCAACTGCAGTGAGTACTACAGACCATACATGGGGGGGTGAAATCTATTCCACATATTTTCAAGTATTGACTGTAACTTTTAAATTATTTGATGCAGAAAACAATGGATTCATACATTTTGTAAACTATGTTAATATTTGTTCTTATAAAACTACAGGAAATTAAAACAAAGCTGAGTTTCAATGATGTTCCTCACAAAACCAACTGAAATATAAAAATGCAGTGCAAATGACAAGATATTTCTAAAACAATGTTATAAAAACAACCAAATAAAATTGGGCAGTATGTGTTTCATAAAGTTTTAGCCCTTCCAATGCCTAAGCAGTGAACCATAGCAACATTGCAACTTTTATCTGATTAAACCAAAAGAAATTACCTGAATGTTTTACAAATTTTCGTGCTCGAACCTCTCCAATTGAATTATTTTCATAGCACTTCTGATTAGCTAGGGAATGCTCAAAGCTCACAAATCTCTCAGATTTGGTATAAATCACAAGGTCCGATAACGCAATGGCAATTTTTGTCTTCTTCAGCTAATAATCATAATATAAAATAATGGAAGAATAAAAAAAACCACAATAACATATATTTCATTATTATTATTAACAATTCAGAAGAAACTATAATTTTGGATTAATAAAGCATGGGAAAATGTGTCACAATTAATGAATATTTGAGCTTAAGATATGACTTTTGATAGTGAGAGTTGATCCAGTCAGAGACAATTAAGGTTATTGTCTCTATGTTCATCAAAGGAATTGTAGGGTGAATGGAGAGATGTTTCCAATGCTTCCTAGCACAGTGTTCTGTTAGACAGCTTTATCATTTCCCTGTTTCTGAGATTAGTATGTAAATTAACATAATTTTTCATGGCTCTTAACTTATTTAAAATACATGTCCAACTTTATATTCTTAAATAGATAAAGTACTAGGAAAGGTATACTGGTAGGAAGTACTTGGAGAAAAAAAAAAAAGAGCAGGAGAATCTATACATCAATAGCACAAACTCAGCTACAAAATGTAGAATAACAGAAGAATATTTTACTGTGTCAAGCAAATCAAGCTCTTAACATTACTTATTTAAAATACATGTTCAACTTTATATTCTTAAATAGATAAAGTACTAGGAAAGGTATACTGGTAGGAAGTACTTGGAGAAAAAAAAAAAGAGCAGGAGAATCTATACATCAATAGCACAAACTCAGCTACAAAATGTAGAATAACAGAAGAATATTTTACTGTGTCAAGCAAATCAATCATAGGTATATTCCTCCAAGCATTGCTCTGAAGTTAGGAAAATTCTGTTCTTCTTAATTAAGATGAAAAGTTCTTTGGCCAAAGTCTTTGTTTAGTCTTGCTCCACTGCCAAAGCAAGCAAAAGCAAAGGCTGCTGTGTATTGAAGCAACTGAAATTTTACCAGGGTCTGAGCTCTCAAACTGAGGTACTACATGTGACCTCTTCATTTTAGTTAGCATGAACTTGTAAGCTAATCAGTGTTAGTAGTCAGCAAAGAGCTGATGCTACTAATAATGTTTACATTCCATTAAAGCTTTTGAAGGCAAATTCTCATCTGACAAAATAATAGGGATTGCCTGCTCATGGCTCTTAAACTATGCAAAGTTCAAGTGCATTAACTATTCTGGGGCTATGTCCCATGAGGAGCAATAGGAGTCTACTGGCACAGAACTCCTGAGTAATGCAACTCTCTGGATGTGGAAGGCAGTAACACAGCCAAAGCCAACAGCCTAACTAGGGTATATCTTGGGTGTGGATTCAAATGCTCTCCCACCCTCCAATAGAGCAAGAGAGTGAAAGTCAGAATAAATACTCCCTCTCTGATAGAGTGGGACCCCAGAAACCATTTTCTCTTCTGCCTGTGAAACACGACCAAACATCTGTTGTTGCTGCTGTTGATCAAGATGTATGTGGTATATGTTCTGGTCTGTAACATAATGTTACAAATATATGTGACCCTATTATCTGGAAATTTGGCCTTCCCTGAACAAAGAGGACTCCATCTTTCTCAGAATTTTTCCTTACTATCTCTCTATATCAGATGGAAAGAAAAAGAAGCAAAGATCTGGACCTTCAATCACTTAAAGAAAAGAAACACAGAGGAAGAAACACTGCCCTGAGAGCAGGGCAAAAACACTGCTCTGCCCCCAGAGCAAAAACATTGAGCTCTGAGGAGCATTGCCAGTCTATCAGCATTCAGATAATCAGAGCATGATGTGCAAAAGTGACTGGATGCTGGGTGCTTCCTGCCTGCTGAAAAAACTTGAACAAAGCAGTTTGAACCCTGATGGAGCAACAGATTTCCATGGCAGAGAATTACTATTTGGTTAGAAAAATTAGTAAGTTTAATTTGACTATTGAAAAGAAAATTACATCCGATTTTTACACTCTCTTTTAGAAAGAGTATTTAATGTTAAGTCTCTATGTGATAAATGTATAAATACCTTTTCTATCATAAGTGCTTAAAAAGGTTTTAGCGCAACCAGAACTCTACACCTAATTTCACATATAAATCCAGAACAGAAGAAAATAGGGGAATGGGAACTTTTCAAAATTTCCATGATAGACTGGTGGACTGCGGAAAAAAATATTCAGTCAACTCGGTCCTTCATCATCAGGAACTGTATAAGTGTTCTCCATGTGTAGTTCCAGGAGTGCCTTGAGACCAACAAAGCAGTTAGGCAACTTTATCTTAGATCTATTGTGGTATTAAGTACCTGGAACAAGCACAAGACTTGAAAGCGAAAAATGCAGGTGGAGTTTAGGATGGGAGCACAGGGAAGGGTTGCTTTTTAGTTGGATGCTAAAATACGCTCCAGTTTGGAGTGCCTTGTAAGAATCAGAAAAACTCTGAAACCTTGAGCTAAAACCTATTATTTCAAAATATATTGCTTTAAGTAATTTTAAAGCTTACCTTTTAGATTTAGTCTCTATTTTAAGATAATATATTTCTTCTTTTTTTTAAAAAAAAAAAGCTGGCATACATCTATGTGTTTTCTAAATTCAGTTGAGACAAAAGTTACCTTTGCCTTTTTTCGAGGTGGGGGTGAGGGTCTACGTTCACTTTTTCTTTTTGAGGAATCACTCTTTGGGTAAAGAGGGGCTTTTTCATCAGTCTCATCTTCATCGGATATATTTTCAAATTCAGAAATTTCCCCCGTCTCACCATGACTGTCAAGATCTCTCCTGAGTATACCTTCCTCAATTGTTCCAACTTTTTTATTTTTTACCAGAATTTTGAATTTTAATGTCTGTAGAAAAGAGGTTAAACAGTAGAATTTAGTAAAAACATACTAGAATTATGTGTGGACTAATTGTAGGTTTTCATATCTATATATTGTTTAACCCACTTTCAAAGCTGTTTATTAAGTATAATGAAGTGAGGTAACACAATGAAGTGAAGATAGATATCAGTGATGCAGAAGTCAAAAGCAAGTAAAACAAACAGAATCTGGGGATCAAAGTACACAATAGAATGTGAACATCTAACGCCATTAGAGGAAAAAAGGCTCTCCACCACACAGATACACAGATGCTGAAACTGTGAGCAAGATTAAGGTAGGAAGTTAAGTGTCAGAGGTGATGGCCAGGTAAGACACAGAAAGTATATTTCTTTACTATGCATGAATTCATTTTTATATACAGACTTATAGACATGTATCTGATATTAATGTGAATTTTTTTTAGCTATCATTGCTGCTGCTGGGAATTTGTTACCCTATTTGGTTAGTGCATTTGTGCACATCTGTCTAGTGTACCAAATTAAAACTTTTGTTGTTACGTCATCATGCAGTAGATCCTCATGCTGATCTTACCTGGTCAGGGAAATTAACAGAGTTTGGTAATAATTTGGTAACAGAGTTTGGTAAAAACAGCAGTTTCTCTGTTTTTGAATGGGCATGTTTCAACTTCCATAATAAAAAATGTAGGAAAAAAATTCATTAAAGGTTATCATTTCTAAGAAGATGGTTTTCATCTGTGCACCTGAATCCTATGAGTATAAATTTCACTTAGATTTATGAAATAATTTTCCTAGTAAAACAGCTATTATGTAGCAGACATTTATCTCTACCTCTGTACACGCGAACTGCCAGTGAGTAACAGGACTTACTTAGGTTCTTGGAGAAAGCAATCCACAAAAATATTCCTTAAGTTTCATATGCACTAGTGAAAAGGAAGGCTATACTGCTGGAAAGGTTAGAGAAACAAGGAACAAATACTTACACATTAAATAGAAGATAACTGAAATATTGTATTTTAACGTATCCATTAAGTAAATATGAAAAGCACAGATGATAGAAACGTACATAAAACCAAAGCTTTATAATAGAAAATAGAGCTATAGCAAAGAAATAGGCATTCCATTTATTTACGTTGCAATCTCCATTGCTGATAATCCCCTTATCACTTCAGATCTTGTATTAGTGGTTTGATAGTGTGCCAGTGGAATGAGATATCCTATGCTTAATATCTATCCATGCCATGCTAGTGTAAGATTTGATTAGTCTCTCTGCACTGATGGTTCAGAATAAGGATGCCCTTTAATATTTCCTTCATTTCTTATTGATGCACTCATTTTTTTCTCTGTGATATTTTTAGAAGAGTTTTAATATGAGTAATGTTACTCATATTTTAGAGAGTTCTGAATTTTCCTTTGCATCTTCATATTTCCCAGTATTTAAAAGTAATTCTATCCACTTTTGGTCTTGTATTTTGTTATTCATAGGTAAGATTTAATTCTACGAATTAAAAAAAAGACCTGGTATACAAGGGAAAGAAAACCTTTCTATGGATATATTACTGCCTCCTGTATGTAAACTTGCTTTAAGTAAAAAAAGACCATAGTCTGTGTCATCATTCCAGTGATTATTAAAGGAAGTTCATGAAGTCTCTTTAGAAGCACCACAGTGGCCAAGATTGCAAGCAGAGGATTGTAGTGGGTCTGTTGCTTTGGGTGGCAAAATATCTGCATGGGAAGGAGGTAAAAGGATAGATACAGTAAAAGAGATTGGTGAAGCTCAAGGGTGGCCTCAGTTTATCTTAGTGGATAAGGGGTGTGTGAAAGAATGAAACAGTGCAAAAGCCTGCTCTTTCCTCTACTCCACATGTAGTGGAAGAATTGTCTGAGATGCTAGAGAACACAGTAATATTCCAGGGAATTAACAGTACTAGTATAATCAGCTGCAGGGTGAACATATGACTGAGGCCACAGAATTAAAAAACCTCTTTTCCTGAAATGTTCTGGGTTTTGTGTTTCAGGGCAAGCAGGCGTTGAGAAAAAGCAGAGAGCAATAGCTTTCAGTGACCATCCAATTTTCTTTTCTGTACTTTTAATAAAGGGACATTCAGAAAGATTCTCTCAAGTATTTTATGTCTAGTACAGAGCACAACACAGAATTGGAATTTTCAACGTAGGGGACTTCTTCTCACTAGATAACTGTATCGTATGAAAGCTTGTTATGAGGTAGCTAAAAAGGTGCTCCTGATATAATTAATAACCATTTAACTAGAGCTCACACATTACTGGTAGTATTGATTTGAAATCTCGGTAACTGTGATGTATAAGGCTGCCACAAAGACATCCATTCACACTTTCACTAAGCATGATTCTTTTCTTGAATCATTGAAGAAGTCTGGTGTTGGGTTTTTTTTAACAGTTGTCCTTAATGATAGTGTCCTGTTATTTTCATTCTGGACCTTCTTGTGATTTTCACTTAGACTTACAATGGTAGGAAACATCATGTGTGAGCTGTGGTCCAAGGAAGAACCTAAGACTGGGTTTGCTCTGCATTTTAATCCTTCTTCCAGACACACACAATCATCTCAGCTGACAAAGGTGTAGCTCAAAATCTACTTAGAAAAGGAAGTAGGAGACTGATCAGAAAACAGAGGAGAAAATAATTTCCTTGGAGATCTCCAAATCTCCAAGATCTAAATAAGAACCTGTAACTGGCAAATGTTTCTATGAAATGTTTGGAGAAATTATGTCATATTCCACTTCATGTATAGACAAGGGCACCATTTGATTCGGATCTTGAAGAACATTGAGAAGTGGGTATTAAAAGGAAGCCTTGCATGAGCTGCAGGTACCCCTTCATAGGAGGAACAAAAGTAGGAACAACAGTAGCTGTCAGATGAGGAGGAGTTCCCACCCGAAAAACATAATGGTTCAGTCTCATGTGACAGGGAGAAGCTAGATGTTGAAGGTCCTTGCCAAAGAAATCTGAGAGAAAAGGGAAGGAGGGCTGAACTGGTTAGTCCAGAGCCAAATCTTTGAGGGATCCTACAAGCAGGTTGTTAAAAAAAGCCTAGCAAAGAAGGCAATAGCACAGGTCATAAACACAGGAGCCAACAACTAAGTGATCAAGAGCTTGTCGTGACACAGACAATCAGGGGACTTGAGGGACAGAAGTATGCCCATTGCATTTATAGGCATGTGAGGCACATGTGGAAGTAAAGAGGTTTATGCTGTGTCCCTAGGGATATTATTGGATTGGAATATTCTCTAACAGAGCATATTATAAAAAATGTCTCTGTGGTTGTTATCAATTTCAACGAAGAGTGAAAGACCCTCTACCTTTGCAATCCCTCCCATCTTCCTTGCTAAGATCCAACCAGAAGGGAGGAGGGTGGAGATCAACTCAAGGTAGATGAAGATGACAAAAGAAGGTAAACAAGATTGTAGGGAAAGGTAAAACACTGTAACTCTAATCCAAATACCTTAATTTTTAAACTCAGAGTAATTAAATTCATATCTATATCTATATCTATATCTATATTTACACACATATAGTAAAGTGACTTGAAGTATATTCACCTTAATACTGAGCTACTTTAGCGTGACATTCATATTCATTTATAATCAAGATAAGTAAATATATTAGCATATAAGCAATTTACCAACTATTTTTATTTTGCTTTAACATAAGACAGTGTAACAGTCTAAAAAAAGAAGCAACACTGAAGAAATCATCATTTTAAATTAATATTTAGAACAGACTTTAAAAGCATATCCAGTAAAACATGATAAGGAAAATCTAATAATCTAGGTGAAAGGAAAGCATGTTGGCCACAGAACATGCTGAACAGGACTCTACAAAGAAAACTTAAGACCTGTTAGTAGGCCATATTAGAGCATATAATGATTTCTTTTAAAAAAATGTTGCTTTTTGCTGTATTTTCTATTTTTTTTATTTCAATATTCAATGAAAGATACAGGTTCACATATAAATACAGATGAGTTACATATGAAAGTTTCAAGAGGAAACTGATTTCAAAGCTTTCCCTTTTTGTTGTGTATGAATATAATATAGATAGATACAGTTATCTGATAATATTTTTGCTAGCAAAAGTACTCGTGTAGGCAGGTACACCAATTCCCTTGAGTGCACTGTTCATAGTCAATTTTTTCAAAATGAGTTATCAGGCTATCGGTGTATCAGCCTCTAAGCAAATGTATTTACTGTGCTTGAGCGGTGCCAATGAACACTTATCATTCTGTCGAACCAATCTCATATCTGAGCAGTTACAATGAACTTTAATCAACCTGACACTATATTTTATTAGATTTATATGTCTAACTGTCATGTTTAAAGAACACTGCCTTTACTCTGTTACTGGTGTTAACACTTCTGATACAATTTTCTTCCTGGGATGGCTTTACCAGTTGGGTTCCTATAGAATCATACCAGATATGACAGCTTCTTCCCGAATCTTGCTAGTGCTCCATCTTGAAAAAAGCGGAACAGTAAATGATATAGGTGACAACTATTTTTTTTTATATACTAACTGGGAATCCTTCTCACGAACAGCATTTTTAATCCATCATTTATGGTTCTGTAACATCTCTTTTGCACTGCTTAAGTAAAGCAGGCTTAAGACTAAGTTCAGCATCTGGCTTACTCAAATATTAATGAATTTACCCAGGTCTTGAATATGCACAAGGTCCCAAGCTTTAAGGATATGATGTCACTAAATTCCTTTTGAACATGGACCAAAAGTGGTTCTTTAAAAAGATGCTAGCCAAAAGTCAAGCATACTACTCTATTTGCAAATTCAGTCATAACTACATATTTCCACTGCAAAATAAAATCCTGATGATTTTTCTTACGTGCTTGATCAGAGCAGCTAAGAGAAATGGAGGTGATCCTAATCCTTGTTCATTCTCAACATAATGATTTATTAAATTCAGACTTTTGTAAATCAGCTGAGGACAGTGGTATTATTTAGGTAACTCTTACATAGATGTGGAATACATCTCACATAACTTTAAAAAATTAAAAGTTCAATAGAATGAATCTCACCTAAACAGCATACATTTAACTGAGGAATAAGTATGGAACCCAGTAATGCATTTTCAGGCAAAAATTCTACAGAGCTGACTTATGAAAACTCTAAGCTATGGAAATATGAAGTATGAATTCCCTATATGACAGTAAACATGTGGTAAGGGACATATCTCATAGAAAGTAATATTTTTAAGTCTATGATTCAGTGTCTCCACGATTCAGATGCAGTACATTGATTTTGTGTTTGCTACAGAGGACATACGATCCTTGGACATCTATCAGACTGGATGCAGCTATGCTTTGAGAAGCTTTAAAACAAACCCTCATGTTTAATACAGTTAATATTTTTTTCTAATTTACAGAGCAGTTTTCAAGTTTGCAAAGTGATATTGGACAGTGTGATACAAAAAATATAACGCTACAATCTAAAAAAATGTTGGCTTACTGAGAAATTTATTAAGATATATTAAATATATTTATGACAACATTGCTATGAAAATATAACAGTATGGTAATACTTTATCAAGTCTTTTGGATGCACGATTTCAAAAATGTTTTTTCCATGAGAAATCCTTTACAAAAATACATCCCTGTGTTGT